ATATGAGGACCTTGATCTCCTTGGTCCCATGCTAGCAGGAGTCTGAGGGGAGGAATGGTGTGGTGAAAAAACTCCCTCCACTTCATCATCCTCATTATTAGAAAAGCGAGAGGGAATAGGGGATAGCTGTCAGTGCCATGCCGACATTTCCAGTGAGAGATCGGTACCAAATAATGGGGATTGGCGAGACTAGCAAATCACTCAAATGAATAAACTGCGGTGCCAAGGTAGAAGAAGTCGAAATATACTGCACTGGGTGCAACGGCGGTGTCGTAGGGTTGGCCAGTGCAGATTGGTACGGCGCCGTATGCTGTGGGCGGCATGGGCAGCCTCAGTTGAGTTGGCACCAAGTCCTTTGCAGTGCTGTGCGGTGGCGTATTAGAAGAGGCAGGCAACTTTAAGCCCATAGCCTAGGCACTGGAATGGTGCGTACCGACAGCGGCCGGGGTACGGACGGTACTGGAGGTGCCCGGAGCGTATTATGTGCTGAGCTGCGGAGCGGTCAGCACTGAAGACACAGACCTGCTTTGAGACCGTTTGGAGGCTCTGGTCAACATGAGGTGATGAAGCTCGCCCTTTTGTTGTTGGTTTTTTATCCTTTGTGGACTTAGGCAGGCTTTGTCTTGAGTAGGACTCCTGACCTGGGTCTCAGGCAGGTCTCAGGGACTTCTCCAACAGAATTAATTTGAGCCTTAGTCTCTGTCCTTTCGTGTCCTGGCCTTCAGCTTACTGCAGTGAGCACATTTTGGGGGGATGTGGGACTCCCTCAAACAATGAACACATTGAGAATGGCCATCAGAGATAGGGATGGTCTCTCTGCACGTGGTGCATCTCTTAAAACCTGGCGAGCCAGGCATAATATAAACTAACTGACAGAAAAAAACTGGGAAGGGGGGGGGGAGTTAAGAGAATAAGGGGAGAGAGGAAATAAAACTTATCTGACTAAAATTAAAATACTAGATAAACTGTATAAATAACTGACTAACTGTCTAAAAGCAAAAATCCTGCTCCGTCTCAGGCCGGGGACAGTAGAGAAAGAACCGAGGAGCCCGGGCCACACGTGCACAATATTGAGGCACCATCAGTGTGTGAGGCAGGCACCACATGTGCATGGCCTGTGCAGGTACTGCTGTAAAAATCTCTGAGCAAAGGCACAGGGATGCACCCACAAGGACATCTCTCAAAGAAGAATGGAGTGGTGCTTTCAAGAGGATATTTTGGGTTGTTGTGATAATTGGGCCCACATATTTACTGCAGTTGTGAGTTAACTATAAGAAGTGAGTGAAAGTTCATAAGATGTCACAGTAACTTATAACAACAAATGTTGATGGGAAAAAGTATGAAAGGGAGTCAGACAAGACCAAATTAGTCCATGCAAAAAGGCCTACTGATATAAATCAAGGACTGTGTTCAGATCATGCTTGGTAAACAAGAAAAGTGTGGAACCAGAAATCAGTGAACCAAAATTGTTGTGTCAAAAACTAGATATTATTGGTGGACAAAATAATGAAGGAATAGGCTATTCCATCAATCACTTTGTGGGTCCTTAAACAGGACTTTCAGGAAAAAAATTGGCTAGTGGAGGTGGCTTCACCATCCTAGCTGCTATCCCCACTGTCTCCTGTGACCCCGGACCTTCTTTGTCCTAATCCTGAGAGATGTCCTGACCAGACTGAGCCAGAGAGAGAGGAACCCAGATGACATCACCACTTCAAATGTTTCCAGCTGAATCCCAAACACCACCTGGGATGAAACAGGATCAGACATAGACACCGGCTTCCTACGAGTTCAGGGGGGTGCTCAACCACCTGCTCTGCCCCAGGTCCCACCCCTTCCCTCATGCCCCACCCATCCTGGCTCCTGAGGACAGCGTTATATCGGGGTAGAGGTGTATTAAAAAAACTAAGCAATCACTCCGGTCACTGATGCAATAGTATGTTTTTCAAGCTTTCTAAAGTCTTGTTCCTTTTCCTCCTGGCATTTCTTTCCTCTTTTCTGCTTAGTCTCTAATCATGGAGTTGGTGCAAGTTTTCCATTTCCATTTGTTTTGATCAGGGTCTGATCAACTCCTGCTGGCTGTACAATAAGTGACATGTCTCAGGAAGACACCTGTCTATTTTCAAAGGTCCAACAGTATAGCTTTAGAAAAAAGCAAACCAGAGAACTTTTCCCCAGATAAGATAAGAACTATTCTTCTCTCTCTTTAAACTGGTTTTTAAGTCAGTGGATAAGTTGCTACATAAATCCCTCCTCCTAAAAAATTAAAAACAGGACAATGACTGGGGCTGAAACACGGGTGGTTTTTTTTTCTGCCAGGATCATACTTCCTACCTGATATAGAGGCCAATAAACTATTTTACTGATTGATTAAAAGGAATTTCAGGTCAATACTGATTTACTGTATTTTCTGGCGTATAAGACTACTTTTTAACCCAGGAAAATCTTCTCAAAAGTCGGGGGTCGTCTTA